TTAATTATAGAAGAGAAGAAAGTTTGAGTAAGTTATAGTGCGATTCTTTTCTTCCTAAACATAAAATAAATAAAATTTTAAGCCACCCTTTCAATTGCAGAGGTCGTGTCCCAGTGGCAGAGGTGTTGGAAAATGCTTTATGAGTCTTGTGTTCGAAGCCTGCACGTGACAACTTTATGGGAAATTTTCCAAAAGATTTAAACCGTCCGGTTGAATGGTTTAACAGTTTGTATCGGTCCGAACGGTTTTATCGGTTTTAAATGATTCAACCGCTTCACCGGTTTTACACCTTAATCCGAACCGTTTATTGTACCAGGTACTGGTCCGATCGGTTCAATCGACCGGTCCGGTCCGGTTTTTAAAACATTGCTTCAAAGTAGCTAGCTACTCCTTCTTTTACCTCATCCACTTCAGTCAACTGTTGACCCTTCACTTGAATGCAGTTAATTTCGTTTCTTCTTTTTCTCCCTCGGACACAACGATGAAAAAACTTTGTGTTGTTATCCCCTTCTCGCAGCCATGTCTTTCTGGATTTTTCCCTTAAGATTCCTTCCTTGATTATCATGCATTTTCCCAAATCAGTAAAAGCCTGTTTCCTTTCCATAATTTCTTCTTCTGTCAACTGTTGTAACTCCCCTCTTAGATCTAGATCTTTAATTCTCTGCTTAGAGTAAGAAATTTTTTACTATGTTTCTGAGTTGAATTTGGTACTCCATTGTTTCAAAGATTTCTTTAAGCCTTTTAATTTTTCCTTGAGACAATAACCTTTCCATCCCTGAACCTTCACAAAGGTCCAAGCTTGGGTTAACAACTCTTTAAGGTCGTTAGATTCCCACCATGCATCGTAGAAACGGAAGGGCTTGGGTCCCTAGTCCTTACACTGATTTTTCAATAGAATTGGGCAATGATCTGAACATGATCTAGCAAGACACCATTGCTTCATATCAGGCCAAGTAGACAACCAATTTTCAGAAAAAAGAGCTCGATCAAGCCTACTCATTGATTCTCCATTTGATTTGTACCAAGTATATTTCCTCCCTATCAGTGGTAGGTCAATTAAATTCAATTCATTGATGAAATCACAGAATTCTCTCATCTCACTGGATAAGGATTTGCAACCCTTCCTTTCATGTTGGCTTTTAATTGCGTTAAAATCACCAAGTATACACCAATTCCCACTAGCAGAAGGTGAGACAAGATTACTTAACTCCTCCCACAATAATCTTTTACTCACTAACTCACAAGGGGAGTAGATATTGATGATGAAAACTGGAATTGCATTTTTACCCCAAAAACCATAAACGCCCAGAAAATTGGTCCCCTCAAGAACTGTTTTTTTGCAAAAAATATCAGAGTTCCATATACATAGAAGCCCTCTTGATCTACCGATTGAAGCCTTAGCAACCCAATCAAAATTATCAAACCCCCATAGAGATCTACAAGTATTTCTGTCAATCAACTCTAATTTTGTCTCTTGCAAAGCAACAAATTCAACTTTTTCTTTAACTATGAGTTCCCTTATTTCTCTTCGCTTACCCCCACCACCCAACCCTCTTATATTCCATGAAAGCAAAATCATTTTGAATTGGGGAGACTTACCCTTTCTCCTCCAGTTGTAGCCTCTGTTGCTTTATCTCTGGCTTCTAGTTCATTGATCCTTCGAATTAGTTCCTCCTCGCTTCCACTTGTTGTTGCCTCTAACTTCTTGGCAAAATCCCAAATTCTCTCACCATCTCTTTCCTGTTTTTTTCTTGTATTCCTCTGTTGCAGTTTTTGATGTCACATGTCATCAATAGGGTTGGTTGCCATTTGTTCGCAAAAATCAGCTGAATGTGGGTGATACACTGACTCTCTACATGGAGGAAGATGGGGCGGGATTCCAGTGCAGGATTGAGGTGGAGCAAGTGACCAGGCCACTTCCTCCTGTTCATGGAACCAACACAACTAAGAAGCTGCAACAGCAGGTGACAAAAGCTGTCATGCCCCTTGATGATCAAAACCGGCCAAATGAGGATGTTGTTTTTTT